CTTACTCTTTGCTGCTTCAAAAGAGTTGAACTTGGTTGGTTGGACATAGTTGACCAGAGTTGACATTTCTTCTGTGGCCACGGCCTCCCACTCTGCTGAGCCCTGAAAGAGACAGAAACAGGGATGAGAACAGAAGGTAAGAGTTCACATGTTTTTGACCCTCATGTTGCCTAGTTTTATATATATATATATATGTGTATATCCATAATATGACATAGGGAGCTATGGATGAAAACTGCATTACAACTGCATCTCTTCTAGGTAATTAAATCAATGCGGGTTTCTTTACACTGTTTTGAGAGGATGACTTTAAAGACTATTGTCAAATGGTTTCCAGTATAGTTCTTCAATATTAATATTAACAATAGCAAAGGAAAGAACTGTTTTGGAAATAGTTGACCGTGTCTAATTTGAATCGAATCTGATTATATTTGCATTTTTAATGTAATTATTTCCTAGAGGTATTGTTATTGTTACTGTATTGTTATTAATGAGTTTATATTATTCTCACCAACTCCATCTCTGATTGCTCATTTTAGTAATTAGGTGATGTATTGTGAGGACTATATAAAAGAACGCAGTTCCCACCGAATGAACCATTATCACAAACCAGATGAACAACGACAAGGGGCGTGAAAACAGATGACAAATACGTTATAATCGATAAACAGACTAATGGCGACAGTGGTGAAGGTGACATCACCACTGACCTTTTTAGCATCATCGTCTTCATCATCATCCTCCTCCTCACTCTCAGCATCCAGCTCTGTTAAAATTCAAGGCAAACATGTGTTCATTCTCCTAGTCTTTACTTCATTTTTCATTATTTTCCATAAAAACAATTTCACAAAATATGGACAAAACTAATTGTACAGTCACGCAAGCTTGTAAATTTTCTTATTGTTAATTAATAATAAAGGACTTAATTTTAATCTTAATGTTGTGATTGTAGCCATCAATTAAGATGCACCAGCTTATTATTATTATTACAATTACTATGATTATTATTATTATCAGTAAAATATATTTGAATTCCAGGCAGCCTTACATGGGGTCCCAACCCCAAGACTGAATAACACTGCCATAGAGGCGTGTGCATTTAAAATGTCTTCATCATACAAAGACTTACAGAGACATTCACCACTGTTCAGCATCTGTTGATTCATTCGCTAACATCACATGACTTGACTCATATTTAATATCTCAAATGCAGTTAGAAAAGCCACTAATTTAATTTGCAGGCACTGGGTTGTTAAGCCCACTCACTGACAGAAGAGCCACTGACAAAGCACGAGTCCGTGCTTCAGAGCCGACATCCGTCTGCTCGTTGTGTAAATGATGAGCTTCTGTATTCTAGATGCATGTCAATAAAGATCCATGATTTCCCTGCACTGCTGTTCTTGTGCTGTTCTGAACTGCTGACCTCCCCTGCTGACCTCAGTGCTGCTCATTAGTGACAACAGGTCTCTGGCGAGGTGCAGATGACAAGCTGGGAAAATCAAGTTGTGTGTGCAGTTCTGTTGCTCTGGACCAAAGTCATGAGCCAAATCTTGTTTGAAAGCAAACAATATGCAACATCCTCATGCATTTTTTAATGCTATTAATCAGACCAGTTTCACTTCACCTCTGCCAAATGACCTATATTACATTCAAGTGGATTTTCCAGTCTGTTCAAAAATTTCTTGTACCGTATTTTCAGGAGTATATGGCACACCTTTTTTTCATCCTTTGGCTGGGCTTGCGACATATATTAAAATATACAATTTCTTTCAAAGTTTGTGATTTTCACACTGACAGCCACTAGAGGGCACTCTAGGCCTGTGTACCAGTAGCAAAAAAATTCAACTCAATTAAAGTTTCATACTGTTTAAGAGGGAAAAACAACAACTAATGGTAAACACTTTGACTGTCACACTTGTATAAGTAATTATAAAAAAATAGCAGGAGTTGAGTCTTACCTCCTTTGTTGTTAGTAGGAGTCAATAGGTCACTGCTCTGACTGGCTAGTTGGTCTGTCATTCTTTTGGTACTGGTGCCACCCGAAGGTTTGTGGGACTTCTTGTTTTTGATGAGGATTTTACCCATCAGTTCCAAAGGACTGGGCAGGGGGACACCTGACTCCAGCTACACACACACACACAAACAACAAACAATTGGTACTGGACGTCCAACTTGAGTATTAATTCCTGTTTAAAGTTTTTTGCGTCCTTACCGGATATTTCTCCAGAGGGTCAATCAACAGAGCGTCTCCGAAAATGGATCGACAATATTCAGCCATTTTGGCCTGCTGTTTCAAGCTGAAAAGTGTCACACGCGCAATTGAATACCACACGATGTTCCCAATACATAGGCATCAATTTGAGAACGTTCAAGCAAGCGATTCTTACGAGTCCACGTGGTTCTCAAAGGAGAGGATGACAGGAAAGGGTGATGTCTTGAAGGCACATTCTGCAATGGCTTCAATCACTTCCTGAAATGAAAACAATACTTAGAAAGGTATCAGATTTAAAAAAAAAAAGCACAACAGAGCAGATGAACCAACCGATGTCACAGAAAATGCAAAAATATCACTTTGGAAGAGAAATGTTGCATTGTGACTTTAAATTCCCCTGTCTCTTGTGATTTTTAATATCTATTTGTCTTAAATGTTTTCTGAATGTCAAACCATTATACAACTGTATACACTCACCTTTGTGTGTTTCTCATCAATAACACAGCACGTTCGGTAAATAATCACCTTGAAACATATTTCTGATGTCATGGTAAAGCCGTGAGTGATGACTGGTTCCTCTTCTGTCGTCCGTCCTTTCCACACGTCTAATTCCACACAGCGACATCCTGCCAGGACCACCTGCCTGTACATCTCCACCGAGGAGCTGCCTGCCAGCTGACCCGCTGAAACAGGGACACACAAACGCAGCACGCTGAACACGTCAGGATTTGTGACCAGAAAAATGTTAAACATGTCTTTGCCGTGTCTGTGTTGACAGAGGATATTTAGGGGTTAAAAAAAACACAGAATCCTGTCGTACGTCCAGGTTCCTTTTAAGCAGAATAACTAGTGGAACTTACTGTTTTTTTTAGCCATTTTGGCCATTTCAAAGTTATGGGCCCATGTCTATCTAACACATTCTAAATCCATAGCATAGCATTAAACATTTAATTAGCTGAGTTATCATTCATTATTTAGAGTTATTATTTATTATTTAACATTGAAATGATGAACTTATACACTCTTTTACAAGACCGTGGACCAGTAATCCAGTAACAGTTGTCTGAAAAAATAAAGAAATTCAAAGACCTACAAACGCAGACAAAGGCAAACCTGAACCAATCATGAATTTACTTTAATAATTGATGTATTTCTGTAAAAGAAAAACATGTAAAACATAAAAAAAATTACATAACATTTTTTTTAAATGTTCCTAAAACATTAAAGGGAACTGATTGTCCACAAGTCACCTTTATAGTACCAGTACCAAGCAGTGGTAGAAACAAAGCTAAACGTAACTACCTGTCAGGTATGTGTTATGTGATGAGTTGATGAAGTAGTGAGACAGGGGGAAGCTCATGTCCTCAGACTGGTCCAGTTTTTCAGGAGGAATAACTGTGTTCTCGTCACTGGACAGATAACTGGAGAAGGCCTGGAGAGAAATCAAGTCTGCATAACACACAAAAGAGAGTGCAAAAACCGTTGTCTTAAAATGATAAATGTTCGTCCTTACTACATGCTGCTTCACAAAATTAATGCAATAAACATTGGGTTTTAAAGTCAGAACAACAACTAGAGCAGTGGTTTTCAAACTGTAGTACACGTACCACCGGTGGTACACGAGCGCTCTCTAGTGGTACGTGGGGAAAATTCATATTTTCACATTTATATTTTGAATTGAATAACTCTGAAACATACTATGCAGAATTAATACAACATTTAGAAAAAAATGTGTAGCTACTTGTGAGGTTATGAAATAGGATGTCTGGTCTTTTTATTTATTTACTTGGTTTTTTGCTGCAATGCAAGTCTGTCGCTCACGTAAGCACATGCAGCACGGAATCATGGGATCAAGTTTGAGGACCATCTGTTTGGTTGTGTTTACTTTCTGGCAAAAGTGAAGCGACGTTAGTAATATTTTAAACCTTAGGAGCGAAGAAAACCACTCGACAGAAGAGAAAAATACAGTAGGTGATTTTGAAATGTTCAACTTAAATCATAATATCATATACAATATTCACAAGGTAATATTTACCTTATATATTTATTATCTTATGTATTTATATTTATTCATATAAATACTTGATATAAATTCAATCTGTTTATGAAGTGATTTTTTAAAATAAAAATTATAGTTAAATTTAGTAGTATCAACGAGTGACACTTTCTGCTTACTTTTTGAAGTACGGCTAACAACGTACCCCTTCGTCCAAAAAACTACGGTTTACAGAGTATAGAGAAGGGTTTTAAAATATTTTTAGAACTCTAATTCAAAAAGTTAATTTTTAAACAGTTAAACTGATTTGTATTTAATGTATATATATATATATATAACCAACAAGTGACATCCGCTTACTTTTTGAAGTATAGCTAACAGAGTACCCCTTCATCAAAAAACTACGGTGGCCTTTGTAGGCCAAAAAGAGTATAATAATGGATTTTAAAATATTTCTAATTCAAAAAGTAAAATTTTAAACTGTCATTTTTAACTAGTTTGTATATAGATGTATATGTGTAATCTTTCATTGCAATTTACTGCATCATAAACAGACGTGGTTGGGTTTGTACCTTGATTCAGCTGTGCCTGGTCTTGTTGGTACCTCTCCATCAGAGCGCGTGTCTGTGCCGGGCGTAGAGGTGGGTACAGGATCTCATTGAGTCTGGGGTCTCTCTGCGTATTGTTGATGAACTCTGTCATCTTCTCCACTGACAAAGTGCCGTCCTTCCCTCCTCTACAGAGCGGATCACAGACACAGTCAGTCACAGGATGACGTCCACCAACGACACGAAAGCTCCAACAAAGAATTCTGCTTCATAATGTGTAAAATAGTTAAAAAAAAAATATATATATATATATATATAAAATTAGTTCTGTAATTGTTATGGCATGTTTAACAGTGACTGGGG